ACTACTCTGATGTCCTGCCACCCTAATAAATAATATCGAGCCATTGCTGCTTCTGCTGCCACTTTGCTTGCTGGCTTCTGCCTATCCTGACATGCATCGGAGTGTTTCTCCTGTGATGCCCCTCTGCCATGCCACTCTGCCTTGAAGCCAGCCCATTATGGACTGAAACCTCTACAAACTAGTGAAGATACACAACAACAAATCTTTGGGAGACTTTCCATTTGGTATCTAAGAGAGATGAAAATGTTTGTAATTTCCTAGAAGGGGGATTGTGTTTGTGGAAACATTAGACAAATGTTTTGAAAATGTCTGTGAACTGGATTTAATTTTCCACGTAGACAAGGTTCACAGTATTCTTGCGGAAATGTGATTGGGGGGGATGGTATTGGAGACCAATATGAATGAAATTGTTACACAAATTGATGCACAAAATAAACTGGAGAAATCTGAGGCTGGCTTAGCAGGAGCTCCAGCCCATGCTGTATCAGCTGTAAAGAATATGAATCTTCCTGAGATCTGAAGAAATATTAACATTGGTGACATCAGTATAAAAGTGCCAAACCTGTCCTCTTTTAAATAAAATATAAAACTGGCCACTCCCAGGTAAAATCCAGGGGGAAAAGTCATCGAAGTTTACCATGCAGTTGTTTACCAAAAATAGAGGAGGAGAGTCTTAACTTTTGCTCTTGGATTTAAGTCAAGGTACTGTACAGAAGTTGTGAAAAATCAGTATGAAAGTTCGATGTTGGTTTTCTTGTTCAGTGATTTTAAAGAAATTGTATAGGTCCAGTGTGATTTTTTTTTTTTCTTTTCTAAATTGCATTCCTATGCCCACCTAAGGCATGGCTCTATGTATTGGCTATTACAGTATTTTGAAAGTGAGGTATTTCTTTAATTTTGTACAATCCAAAATATTGGTGTTTTGTATGGATCACAAGTGTAGCAGTCCTTGATTCTTTCTGCTGTTTGTCATAATTGTTATTTAAAGAACCAAGTATGTATTGCATGGAAACATTATGACCTTTTCCTCTTAGTTTAAATAAATTCAAAGGTAACTGGATTTCTAAAGCACCTTTCTGTTTGCCTGATATCTACTTTAGCAATAATTTTTCTTACTACTCTCTGACTCAAAAAAGTAAATAAAGGTATATTTTATCACTGTTAAAAAATAATAATAATATCGAGCCATTTACCGAGCACTGCTTGCCCAGCATAATGCTAAGCACACACTCACTCATTGTCTTACACTGTAATCCCTCCCTGATGTGGACTCTGTTACTACCTCGTTACACAGATGGAGAAACTGAGGCACAGGCGGGTTCAGTAGCTTGTACAAAATCACACAAAGAAGAAAGCCTCAGAGTGAGGGTGTTCGACACCAAAGGCTATGCAGTTGCCCTGCACAGGCCTGATTAAGGGGCCCTCAGCCTCTGCCCCAGCAGGGACAGTGCATCCTCTTCTGCAGGGACATTCACTTCCTTCACGATTTCTAGAATCTAGATTTTTTTTTCCCATACCAGGGATCAAACTCAGGACCTTGCACTTTCGAGGCAGGTGCAGCACCACTGAGCTAAATCCCCAGCCCTCTAGAATCTAGATTTTTTTTTCCCATACCAGGGATCAAACTCAGGACCTTGCACTTTCGAGGCAGGTGCAGCACCACTGAGCTAAATCCCCAGCCCTCTAGAATCTAGATTTTTTTTCCCCTAGAATCTAGATTTAAGAAAAAATAAAAACCTACTTTTTAAGCAAACAGATTTCTTCCCCAGTTAACAGATTCCACAATCTGTGCTCAGCACCATCCCCTTGGGGCCAGCATGCCCCCGTCTGCGCATCTGTGCCCATTATTTTGTGCCACTTCTTCTGCCCAGGTCATCAGACACCCCACTGGGCACCTTCCTCCTCCACACAGGCCCCAGCGTGGGCTCCTATAAACTTTCAATTCCACCACACCACTTCCAGCCACCAGCATGGCCATCATCAAACTCACAGACAGCCGGGGATTTAGCTCAATGGTTCCACTGCCTGCCCCGTGAGCACAAGGACCTGAGTTTTATCCCCAGTACCAAAAAACAAAAAAACCCAAAAAAATCACACACAGAAAGCTGCAGGTCTATGCACTAGGAAGTCCTAGCTACTTGGGAGGCTGGAGGCAGGAGAGATCTTAGCCCAGGAGTTTGAGGCCAGCCTGGTAACACATTAAGAACCTATCTCCAGGGCCGGGGGTATAGCCCAGTGGTGCCGCACCTGCCTGGCAAACACAGGGTCCTGAGTTCAATTCCTGGTACTGGAAAAAAAAAGGAACCTATCTCCAAAGGAATAAAAAAGCAGACAATAACAAAGGTTGGCGAGAAAGAGGAGAACCCAGAGCCCTCACACCTAGCTATGGGAGAGGAGATGGTACAGGTGCAATGGAGGAAGTTAGACTCCATTCCCTGTGACATGGCTTGCGAGAGGCCCTCAGAAGTTCCCGTGTCGCAGCTTTAATCCCTCCACCTGCCTGAGAGGTGGGGCCTGGGGGATTCCTCATGAGTGGTCTAACATGTTTCTCTAGGAGCCAGGTTGGTGACCATCCTACCAGGTTGTTCCATAGCAGGTTTCACCTCTTCTGTGCTCACCTTGCCTATTTCTGCCACGAGTTGACAAAAGACAGGGAACCCACCAGAAGCCAAGCAGCTGTCAGCTTCTTCACTTTCTAAGCTACAGAACCAGAAAGCAAAATAAACCTCTTTTCTTTGTAAATTACCTAGTTTTAGGTATTCTGTTACAGCAACAGAAGACAAAGACGGCATGTGATCCAGTAACTCTACTCCTAAGTACTCCAGAGACCCCCATGAAAGGAAAACTCATGTTCACACTAAAGTTGTACAGGAACAGTCACTGCATTATTCATAACAGCAAAGAGCAAAACAACTAAAATTTCCATTAATGGATGAATGGGTAATAAAATGTGGTCCATCTAAACAATGGACTATTATTCAGACATTAATACATGTTCAGTGGTAGAGCACATAGTTAGCATGCACAAAGCCTGGGTACAATCCCTACCACCAAAGGAAAAACAAGAAGGAAAAAAAAGTAAGCCAGGTGTGGTGACACACACATGTAATCCCAGGACTTGAGAGGCTGAGGCGGGAGGATTGCCACCAGTTCAGCTACCTAGTGAGACTCTGTCTCAAAAAAACAAAAAACAAACTCTGACACATGCTACAACACAGGTGAACCTTGAAAATAGGCTGAGTGAAAGCCAGATGCAGAGTCAAATATTATTTGACTCCACTTATACATAACACGCAGAATAGGCAAGTCTGATGCAGAGAAAAGCAGATTCCTGGTCACTAGGGGATGAAGGGAGAGGAGACTTGGAGGGTACAGGGTTCCCTTTTTTTTTTTGGTACCGGGGATCGAACTCCGGTCCTTGCGCTTGTGCAGCAGGCGGTGAAACCACTGAGCTAAATCCCGGGCCCCCAGGGTTCACTTTTGAGATGACAGAAGTGATCTGTAAATAGTAGTGATGCTTATACAACAACAGTGTGAAAATACGAAAAACCACTGAATTGCACATCTCAAGATGGTTCAAAGGGGGATTTTTTTTT